CAGAAGGGCTCCCTGCCCCGCTGTATCGGGCCTGGCGTGGCGGCGTGGGCGATCTCACCCCCCAGGTGCCTTTCCTGGGGCATTACGTTTCCTAAAGTTGCTCGTCATTTCTGCCGTTGCTGCAGAAGGCCGTCTTCCTGCTTTCAGAGCTGTTGTCTTGAGATTTTCTTCGTTAAATCTGCTCGAGATGGTCTTGTCATAATAAAGCGTTTGGCAGGAGGAATGAACAAAATTACTTTTTATAAAAACGTGTTGCTTATTCGCGGAGCAGTGTGTGTCCCCTTGAATCAAAAGCTGTTGGCTTTAATGAGGTTGATTGCCATCCTGAAAGTTGTAGGTAAGTCCTTTTCTTCAATAAAACATCAGATCAGTAGGAGAATAATAAAGAAGAATTCTTTTTGTCTTGGTGAAGAGCAGATAATTGTTTGTTTGGGATAACTTAAACATGAGAGAGTTGTGCTCAGAGTGAATGTAATTGTTTAGAACTACACATCGCTCTAATACAGGACAGAGTTGGGAAGCTGTGAAAGCCCAGTCAGATGTTCCTGATGGAAGCTCAGCAGTAGAATTTGGTGGCCTGGCAGGATGGAAGCCTTAAGATCACAGTGACCCTGAGCGCTCAGTACTCAGGCCCTTACTCCATTTGAAATGGTAACTGCGACAACAACGCACAACTGTGTGTCTGAAGGACTATTGACATATGGGAGAATGTCTTTTTTTTTTTCCTTTTTGTTTTCCTTCAAACGTCAGAGATAAGGTTTCCCCTGCAGTTGTTAATTTGGCTAACAGCCAGGGCTGTAGATAGCATATGGTTTACTTGTTCTTGAATGCTTCTTATCTCGACTATGGAAGGCCAGTAATGCTGGCCAGCAAGAGAGGCTTTTCTTTACCAATAAGTTTTGTTTTCTTAAAAAAGATTTCTGTGCAGAAAAATGTATCGCTTCTTTTGAGTTGAGTATGAAGAACACTGAACCAGTCAGGTTACAGATGGTGTTGGTAATTCTGATTGGATAAGTTCAGAATATGCATGCAGTGCTGGAATGGTGTATTTAAAAGTGCTGTATTTTAAATAAAATGTATGATACTTTGTTTTCCCCATCCAGATTACAGGGCCCGATAATAAAGGAATTTATAAAGGTGATCGAGAGTCCAGTGGAAAATACACTTTTGCTGCCCACATGGATGGAACTTACAAGTTTTGCTTTAGCAACAGAATGTCCACCATGACTCCCAAGATAGTGATGTTCACTATTGATATCGGGGAAGCTCCAAAGGGGCAAGACATGGAGACAGAAGGTGAGGAAGACTCTTGGAAATAAATTAGCTCCAGCTCTGGAGCTTGTCCCTATGTGCATGACTTCTGAACTTGATGAGGATTCTCAGAATTCCTGTTTCTTCAGGCTGTCTAGTTAGCTGTTCTCTTGCACAGCTAAAATGGATACGGTTGTTTTTAGACCTCATTACATGATTTAATGCAAAATCACCCGAGAATCACTTGGCTATCTACAGAAACTAATGTCTTCATCCTTTAGTCTTTTCATCAGTTTTATTCTCTGATGTCTTTTTTGTTCAGCAGCGTGTAGACGGCTACACGCATTAGTTGAGCTCTTTGATAAATGTGCTAATATAAAAATTTTCTCTTAGGGGTGTAAATTACTGTTTTATCTGCAGCCTTTTGTCCTGTACTTGTGATCATCTCTTACACTTTTCTTTAGGTGGTGGAGATACCTGGGATGGTATGTGTACTGCTTTTTGAAAGTTCATTAGCATCTTGTCTCTTGCATATGTTTATTCACTAACAGCTAACGTTTGCTTTTTCTCTGTAACGTTTGTTTGTAGCATGAGAATGTCTTTTTAATAAACTACATAAAAGGTCTGATTCTGAGCAATGCTGGGCACCTGCAAGCTTTCATCAAGAGGTCTATATACTTAGCAGCTCTTGGGATCAGGTCCATGAACTGTCTGTGACAGTTTGTCTTCAGGTAGTTATTTATGGCTAGCAGAAGACTTAATCAGGAGGTTTAGGTGAATTTAAAGTAAAACACTGAACATCCAAGAACACTGGATATTTTAGACGGTGTTTGCTTTTTGTTGCTGAAGTGGGTGTTGAATTATAAAGGGCTTTTGGAAGCAATAAGCTTCTTTTAGGTTATTGATTGCCAGTAATGTTACATGGGGGAAAAAACTTTCAAATTTGTCATTTGCTGTAAAAGAAATAAATGAACGTATTGAGTAACAAGTTACAAAGTTTTATTTAGAAATCATTAACTGTAGCTAGAAAGGCAATACATTTTTGTTTTCTATTTAAGTAAATAACTGTGTGGCATTGAGTGCTTGATACTGCTTGAAAAGTAACAATTTCCTAACCTGAATTTTTTTTAAAGACTCAGTTAAGTCTTTTATTGAGTCCGAATATATCAGTTGTAAAGAATATTAGTGCAGCTTTAAATTTTTAAGGCAAACACTTTTCCTTGAGTGTATTTTGTTGGAGTGGGTTTAAACAATCCCTGCAACTGTAATTTCTTCTCTTACTGATACACTACACTTATTGCAATGACCAGTTGACAATGTAAATAAGGGATTTGTGATATTAGCAAAGTGAGTGTGGTTTACACAACTATGTTAAGATTTTAACTGTAACTTATATGACTGTTATTCTCTGGTCCTTTTTTTGACTGTTCCCCATAAGGTGTGTATTTTGAATAGGTTTATTTTCAGATTATAATCTGAAACACTTAATTTATAAGTAAAAACGTAATAAGGTACCTTCAAAGTCAAATATGTCCCCTCAATAGAAAATGTGTTGGGTTTTGTGACTTATTTTTAAGAGAGCTGATTGTTCAGGGCCTGTCTGTGGAATGATATCTTGAACTTGGTGCTAGAAAACTTTGAAAATAACTTGCATAATTTATAAATTTATAAGTGGACAGTTCTTTGAGCATGAATGTATTTAAAAGATCCTGTGATTGACCATCAAATCCCTAAATCTTGGATCTCTGAACCTTCCATTTGCTGAACTATCTCAAGCTAGTTTTCTGTTATCGTTGGTTTGGTATTTTCCTCTTCTGCTTTCACAACATACCAGAACCTGAAGCCAGTTCCTGCCTTCTGCCAGGCCCCTTTGGCATTGTTTCTGCTGAATGCTGTGCTTCAGCTAAACCAGAAGATCACAAGATGTGATATGTTGCTTCAGAAAGTGATCTCGTTTTGCCAGCATCATGATCTTAAGCTAAATTCTCAGTTGTTCTATTTTTGCAAGCTTAACAACTAGGAAAAGCTGTAATGTTACGATAATTTGCTTGGAATATATTGGAGTATATTGGCAAAATAGATACTAGTGTGTGGTGTTGATCTCGTGTGTTCTTACATTCTATTTTTTTGGAAAAGGATGCCGTATTGGAAATAAGAGGTCTGTACTGACTCCAAATTGCGTGTCTTCTGCCTTCTAGTCAGATGTGGAGAAAGATGTTTTCCCACTTATTAAATGGCATAGAGATGTGTTAGTTTTCACAGTGCCACGTTTCCTAAACTTTGCTATAAGGACAGGAAGTTCTCAGCTGTACAGACTGCATTTTTCAGAACAACTTCTGCAACAGGAAATTAAGTATAACTGTTCATAAATTTTAACAAATTGGTTTTTGAGCCAATAACAGACTTTCTGATGCTTCTGAAATTATTCCGCAGCTCATCAGAACAAGCTAGAAGAGATGATTAACGAGTTAGCAGTGGCCATGACAGCCGTAAAGCATGAACAGGAGTACATGGAAGTTCGTGAAAGAATACATAGAGCAAGTATGTATCTTTGACTTAAATGCCTCTCCCCTCTCAAATGAGCTTACAAAGCATGATTTAAAATACAGGTCTATGAAAGCTATTAAGAGTTCTAAATTTATATTTTTTTTTAGTAACAAGTTCTGAAGGACCTGCCCATACAATAATCATCAATGTGGTTGATGCTTGCAATCGTCTTTAAAGTGGGTGTGGCTTAATTGCACCAAAGTCTTTCTAAAATATTTTGCTGAAATAGAGCAGAACTACTGTTATTTGCAAGTAGAGAATATGGCTAACGCTCTAGTCATATCCTCACTTTCTGAAATAGAGCTTTAAAATATGACTGAGTACGCTAAGTGGTGCATTGGGGGAAGCCCAGTGAGAATAAAGGGCAAATATTTTTAATGTGAAAATACAACATTACATTAAAACACTGGTCCCTCAATTTTTTGAACCTATGGATATCTCCAGTTTTAAGACTTTTGTTAGTAATGGTCTGATTTAAGAAAATGCTGACTTTTTAGAACCCAGGATGATGAAACTTTAGAGATTAGAAATTCCCCACTTGTCTTTGAGACTTTAATATGGAACTGTTACTTGAAAAAGCAAGTGGCTTCTATTTGGCAGTTAGAAGCTTCTTTTTGGCCTCTTTGATGGTCGGCAGAATAGAGAAAGATGCTGTAGTGTATGTCCAAAGTTGAGGTTAAAACATCTGCTTTGCGTAGCAGAGTTCAAGCTGTTCAGAAAAATACACCCCGTCAGCTCTCAGATCTTGCCTCTAAGACTGCAGAGTCCTTCTGGGACACTTGTAATGACATGATGCAGGTATCAGTGGTTTATGTGCAGTACTCCAGGTCCAATGACAAAATATGTTTTAAGTTTGTTTTAAATGCTTTGTTACTTACTTCTGTTTTTTTTTCCCAACAGTTAATGACAACACAAACAGCAGAGTGGTTCTTTGGTCATTCTTTGAAGCTCTTGTATTAGTTGCCATGACACTGGGACAAATCTACTATCTGAAGAGGTTTTTTGAAGTCCGAAGGGTTGTTTAAGAGTACTTTTCTGTCCCGGATTTCAGTTCACTGTCTACCAAACATCCTGGTCACAAAAAAAGTCATTTAGTTTCTGAACCCTCTTTACTGAACTGTAAAACTTATTTGCTTATGTTCCTTCCTAGGTAAAAATGAATTGTTTTTATATATCTTCTGTAGCAAAAGCTGTGCTGAAATCTTGTCACTTAATTGGCATAATTTTTTTCACCTAAATCTGCTTAGTCTGTATGCTGAGCGAGGTCCAGGCAAGCTGCAAATGCTGTAAATCAACTGTAGTAACAAGCAATGTTGGTGTCTTTTCTAACTTTTTTCCCTGTTTTCATACTTGCAGTTCTACCTAGGGAAACGGTACAAGGCCCTAACATGACTTTTTGCATTCTTGACATCTTTAACCCTGCAGTAGGCGTCACAAAATTGAAATAATCCCTTCTTCACTTACATAAACTGCCAAGGAGAAGCGATTGGAATTTTATTCTGATAATGAATAGAAGACAGCTGACCACTTCCAATCTAGTATTCCTACCTAGTTGCTATTTAAAAGAAACTCTCCAGTAATTACCCTAATTACATCAAATTATTCCCAAAGTTCTTTTAAATTAAATCGTCGATATGAAAATACATTTTCTCCTCTCGTTACCAAATGTTCATTGTATGGTTTTTAGTCTTCACAGGTTTTATATCGAAGCCAATTGTGTGCAGTGTCTTGGCAAACAATAGTTAACCCTTTGGTTTTTGCGGGTCCAAAGCTCAGACTGTTGGCACTACTGCAGAATGCATTAGTGTTCAGGAAATCTGGATTCCTGATGCCAAAGGGTTAATGATTCTGGGGGTTTATTGCGATGCTATGCAGCCCTTGTATTTAAGTTAAGTGGCGGTCTCTGCCATTTTCTGATCATAATTAGCATAATGCTAAATACTGGTGTGTTTTCTTTTTCAGGCACATGTAGATTTGTTTTTGTATAAAGTTACTTTCCTCGGTATCTGATGATTGGTTTAAAAATTAAAGAAGTGTCTGATGTGGGTGCTGAGCCAGGATTATGTTGTGACTGATGTATATTAGTTGTAATCATTTTTGGGGGTGGGGAGGGGTCTTTTCCAGGGTGGAGCCTCTACAAGTAACACACAACAGTTTTGTACAATTAATTTAAAATTTGTTACAGGTTTTCATGTTCCAGGTAAAGTTTTTTCAACCTTGGGCAAACACTTGCAGCAGTTCTTCAGAAAGGTGGCTGTTACACCTTATTGCAACTGTTGTGTGCCAATATTTTTGTGTAGAACACTTAAAATTGAATTCTAAGATGTACATTTAAAAATTGCTTGTGAATCTAAATATGACCCAGGTTCGATAAATAAACAAATTCTTTAAAAAAAGTAACCTGTTTTTTTTTCTTGGATACTTTAAGGAAGTACAGTTTAACATGAAGCTTTTTTAATAAAGTATTTCTTAGGATATCAGGAATTCATCCAAACGCCATCAGACTTTGTGGGCTGGTAGAAGAAATTGCAGGTAATTCTAAACCTACAGCTTTGCTACTCAGCGCTGGGCAAGTTGGGTGTCACAGTGCTTCTGTATGACGTGCAGAAGTACTTACTATGATAGGCCTCTTGCCATAAAAATACGATTTTTTTGCTATAGCCAAGGGGTGCTGTTTACTGCCGAGTTTCCTCACAGAGGAGGCAAAAACCCTCAGGGTCTGGCCGGAGGAGGGCGGGGGTAGCGGCTGGCGGTGCCGGCGGCGGAACCAAAGTGCTGCGGTGCCTGTTTCCGCGCGGCCCTGCTGAGGC